AACACACGTGCTGCCTGAGCCCGTCGCGAGACACTACTGGTCCGAGAGCGGTCTCCTGTGCTTTGTCTCTGTCTCGCGCTCATAATTGTACTTCATACGATTGTACAGAGAGCAGACAGGAAGCGACCAGTCTCGGTCTCGTAACTCTGTCGCCTGCCTCGGTCGCTTGTCTCTGTCGCGTGCAGCCAAATTGTACCTTAATACTGCAAATGAACTTTACTATGTAAACTTACCCATTATCTACGTCCCCAAAGTACCACCCAGACCCTCACCCTGATCTTGTCAACCATTAGCAATTCCCTGGGTTTGCTTCTCAGTGCAACTCACCTGGAACTTGCTGGATCTCTCTTACTAGTGCATCACGAAGAACAGACTTCATAATCTTCCCCATTGATGTCTTTGGGAACTCTGTAACGAACCTGATGTGCCGGGGAATTCGATACTCTGAAATCTGCAGTATCAATACAAGCCAAGTTTATTGAAACATATACAGCTTAAGTGGTTTCAATTATAGTTGCATAAAAATTCATCATACAAAACAATGGCCTCATGAAATGCAAAGGATTCTATATAATTTTATACTGACCTCATAGATTTCTCATTAATTCAAGAAGTAGCTGACTTACCAAACGGCCAACCACTAGCCAAAAAATATCCCAATAGCCGAACCGATTAACAACAACAATTTAACAACCAGGTCAATTAGCTGACCAGGCAATAAATCTGGAAAGATTAGGAGACAGGTTTAGGATTCCTGCCATTAAGTTAGTATACAATGAATCTGTCACCTTGTCCTTGCAATAGCTGATAATGTCTTCATCAGTAAGGTTGATTCCACTTCTCAGACGAAGATACAAGCAGATATCCTCTCCAACTTTTGTATCTGGTACTCCAAACACCTGCATATGACAACCATATTACCAAAATTAGGTCAGCTGAATTGCAAAGGAGAAAATGAACTCTAAATTCCTGGCAGATGCAGGATATGTGATAATATTTTTATAACAGCTGTGGTGCTCAGGGATATGATAAATCTTGTGCCACGTAGAAATATAACAACATTATAACCCAGCGTGATAAACCTAAACTATAACTTCGCAAACTGTACAGGTGGAACTAATGGTGGTAAAACCTCTAAGACTTAAACACTCTATATGACGTATTTAATTTTAGTGACACACACAAACTGTTTATCCGCTAAACAAAAAACATCAGCACCACTTTTTAAAACAGTGTACGTAATTAACTGATGACATGTATTTCTAGCAAAAGGCACAGCAACTGTTTTAAATCTTAACTTTGGAAGTGTCTAATGAAGCTAATCTTGTAATTGACAATTAGTGAAATGACCAGAGCAAAAACCATACAGTTTCATAGTTGGACCACCAGTCACAATATATACGGTGTCCTAAAAAAGATGCATACTCATTACAATATGTTGGCTGCTCGTAGCTTCACGATCACCACAGTCACCTGTGCCGCAAAACTAGCAGTGGTCATTTTGAACACCTACGCTGCAACTTGCTAATTCTCCAAGTGCCAATGCTGACATATGCAATGGTTTAGCTCATTAAAATGTCTTTCACTCTTTCATTGAATATGTGTATACATTTTGCTGGGACATCTTGTACATAAAGAGGCTGAGTTAGAGATCCACCTATTATATCACCTTTCTGGAGATGCTAAACCAGTCAAAGAACAGACAAGCATACACTGCCTCAATGTAGGAGGGTTCTGAAGAAACAACACAAAATTTTCTGAGGATTGAAAGTCTCAGTCATTCAACACGAAGTCAGTAACTTCAATGACCAAGCTATCTTTCTCACAGCATCACTGAACAAGTATTTTTATTCCTGTCTTACCACAGCCTCCAGGACATCTGGATGCTTCAAGAAGAATTCCTCCAATTCTATTGGAAAAATGTTATCAGCAACTTTTACAATCATGTCCTTGAATCGGCCCAAGAACCGCCCACATCCATCCTCATCCAGCACAAAGTTGTCCCTGCAGTTCCACCAAATTAAAAGTGTATGAGTAATCATTTAAGCTGATCTATCAAGAAACAGTCTCACAGAATGGCTGCCACACTGGTATTTGTAATGATAAGAAATTACAAAATACGAGCGTAAGAGTCAGATGGCTTTCATCGGCATTGCGTGCATATAAGAAGTCTTTAACACCTGCCAGTTGTTTAAAAAAAATCTTATGGAAACAAATGTGATGGTAACATAACATTATGTAAGATTTGAGGTTTTCACAGCGGTGAGTATGAAGGTTTCTGCCTTCTGAGTTGTTGCACTGTGTAGTCTGGTCGATGTTTACCAACGTTTCTGAGGTCATACTGCCTCCGTCATCAGGGCGATAAATATCAACCCAGAAGACAGAAATCTTCAAAATAACATTCCTTTCCTTTATAAGAGAAGTAAACTGGGCTGAACTGTGTAAGAGTTTTCTTAACCGGCAGGCAGTACAGTACAAATACTTCACTTTAGGGACTTACTTCTAAGGGAGTATGGAGATTGCTTTAGTAATAACTGCAGATTGAATTTGGGGAGTTTATGTGTGGTCATATTAGTAAATATAAAATAATTGATGCTTACTATGCCCTTTGTATAAAATAAATTGCAAGCCAAAATTATATATAGTCAAACAAGAGATAATGGCTTGATTAGTGGTGCACAGTAAAACTCTCACATCATATACACTAATACAGTAAATTCATGGTAATGTTTCCCAGCAGATTTATAATCATGTTGCCACTACGATCTCTTCTGCTATCATTCCCATCTCACAGCCACAAGGAAACAAGAAACTTTACTATTTATGTTATATATGCAACAGCTGATATAATTCTTACCCGGTTTTGGTCCATCCATCTGGTCCAATCAACTCGGATGTCTTTTCTTTGTCACCCCAGTAACCCTGCATGACTGAATAACCTCTAACCCAGAGTTCTCCTCCTGAACCCACTGGAACCACCCGCCCATTCTCATCCACAACTTTTGCCTGTAAATTAATAAATTACTTTATGAAGATGGATGTCTGGTCAGTTGTTCCGTCATTTACTGATGTTACAGAGGTGCCTGACTGATTAAACAATACATACATATATATTCAAATCTTTCTCTACGTTACTTCTATAAGGTTTGTGCAAAACATTTTCCATTTGACATTCTTTTAAAGCTACAGTGTAAAGGCATGTTTATGTGACAACAGCAATGGCCATTTGGGTTCTAGAAAAACAGAAAATTTAACGTATAGCTGAATAACTGTCAGTGATCAATAATAAACTGTATAAAGGAGTTAGTAATCCAAAAATGAACATAAGTATCAGTAAATTCTGACCTCCATATGATCGCAGATACTTCCTACAGTTGAAGTCATCTTGTCCACGCTGTCACCCGGCTTCCCCATGAAGACGACAGATATTTCCGTCATCCCATACAGTGCCCAAGCAGAAGACAGATATTTCCGTCATCCCATACAGTGGCTGTGAACATAATCATGACTAGCACACTAACCGACTGACTACATACTAGCAGAATCCAAAGGTGCAACACTCTTAATATCAAAGCCCAACACCGGAACAGTTCAGCACAGGCCACTTCTTAAAAACCTTGTTTTAATATTTTCCTCCAACACACTCATTCTTCCAAGTGACCAACGCCTAATAGTTTCACTACCAACATTCTGCATAATTTTCATATGTTCCCATCCCAACATATCTGCCTTGCTTAGACTACGCTAACAATACTAGGTAAGTTGTATAAATTCCTAAATTCTTCATTATGGAAAATCCTCCATAATGCTGTCCTTAATTTAGCATATGTGACTTCCTAAAACTAAAACTCCTGAATTTATTTAATTTTGAATCATTTTAAAACACTCTAAACAATAAATCCCCTTCACTCACACAGACTCGCTTGATGTTAAGTGTGTCCAACATGCCCTGGACTATCTCCTTGGTGCACAAGGAACCCCCAACTGAGCCCACCCTGAGTGTCGTCAAGATGATGTCAAGTTTCTTGGCATTGCCTATCAGGTCTACATACAAGGATGGAGAACCAATAATGTTGGTACACCTGCAAAAATAATAGCAATGCAGCTGTTTTCTATCATTTAAACTAAAGAGCAGCCTTTTCTTATTCACGGATAGCTTATGGCCGTGAAAATTACTGAACGCCACAGCTAATAAAGAACTGAAGCAAAGAAAATAATAATGTTTTCAAAAAGTGCTTGGTTTAAGGGTAAGATATTATTAACAATGAATTATGCACATATTTCTTATAATACATTTGCAACGATACATCAAAAGTTGTAGGCTGGATACTTCTGGGTTCTATCGTTTGCTGGCCTTGATGTTTATTTCTGATACAGGGTTTTATCTTGTGCTGGCCTTGATGTTTATTTCTGATACGAGTCTACTACTGAGAGCCTAACCATCTACAGATATAATGAAACTAGAATAACAAAAGAAAACAAATTTCACAGTAGACCATTAAAAAACAATTCAGAAGTTTTGGAGATGAAAAATGCTAACAGACAGACTCACATTATTTTCCTTCAGTAAAGAAAGTTTGGATAATGTCATGAAACAAGCCAAAACTATTTCCTTCCACATCTTCTGCAAATTCATCATTTAAAATAATACAAGCATTTAATACTATGCAGTTGAGATAAGTATAATTCAGCTCAAAAACAATCAATCAATAACTGATAAATTATTGAATAATAATACTGCAGACAGAATTTTATATTACAGAAAAATATATGAAGATAATCCACGCATTTATGGCTTCACTATATTAAGATAATCCACGCATTTATGGCTTCACAGATGTCTATAAAACATACTGACTAGTTGTATGTCTGTGAATTAAGTAATAACAACAAATACAATTACCGTTCTTCCTTAATAGCGGCCAGTGTTTTTATGGGATCAAAAGTAGGTGCCGGAAGTACTACAGTGCTGCCATAGCAGAGGCCACAAATAATACCACCAAGACTTCCAGTCACATGACAGAATTGTGGACAAATTACATGCCTAGTTGCCTGCGACAAAGGACAAAAGTAGAAATATGAATTATTTTAGTTGTTATTGTAAATTATATGTCTTAGGGGTTTAGAGATATTTTCTGATAAAGATGGATTTCTGATTAACAAAAGTTTTACTGTATCAGTTGTTTGCAATTCCTTTCCTTTATCTGTCATGCACTGTCAATGAACGTTGCTCGCATACTGTCATTAACATAGATACTATACATATATATCTATACAACCTCTGCATTAAGTTCCAAGTATTTCCCTGAGATGATGGCACTGTTGACCAGATTATGGTGGGTTGCCAAAGTTGCTTTTGGAAAGCCTGTTGTCCCCTGAATTGAAATAAGAGAGGAAAACTGAAGCATTTGCATGATACATAAATGACGTATCAACATGAAAGGTGAATATAATAGACATGATGTATCAACATGAAAGGTGAATATAATAGTCAAGTACTCTTAAGGTGGCGACTGACTTGTAACATTTACTCGTAATGTAACATTCGCGGCGAGCATGTTACATTACACCACAACTGGTGAGGCGCATCGAATGCTCGTTTTGAACGCTCGGCTCGACTGTGCTCGTGTGTGCTCCATTCATTTCATTCAATATGTCGGACGTGGAGGTTGTGTTATCTTTGTTTCATTTAATACGCTACTCTTATCTAAAGAACTCGTGAATGCTCGTTACGACACCGCTCGACTGACTGACTGACTTGTAATGTAACACTCAAAGGGATTCGCGAAAAAACCGACAACACGATGGAGCGAGCGTGAGCGGCTCACATCGAGCGGCTCTGTTCGCTGTCTTCACTTGTGTAATGCTCGATTTGTAACACGTTACATTACAGGCAAATGTTACTAGTCAATCGCCACCTTTATGACTACAGCAGTGCAACGTAGAGTAGCACAGTGGTCCAAAGCACTAGTTACTTATACACTTTCTAAGAAGTCTTTGAATCTAAGGATAATGTACTGCGGTATTAGAGCATTATGGCTGTTTTATATTGCATTATACTATATTATTAACTTATTTGTGAATTAATGATGGCTGATTCACAAAGTTCTTACAGAAGAATACTGGATGGTACAGCCATCATCAGGCTGTATAAGAGTCTGTAGTGCTGCAATTTTCTTCAGAGATTCAGGACTTGCTGATGATATAACATCATCAAATCTGTGAGCTCCTCTGTAACGAACATATCATTGAACACAAATTCAGTACAGACAAGTAAAGATACATATTGTTATTGTATTAAATATGCATATATTTATTTTGGATATGAATGTACCTTCTGAAATGCCATTCTTGATATACCATATGACAAAATGTGTGACACCAAGAAATCTGTGGCCACTGATGTGTATTAGAACTTTAATGAAGGACAGAAAGGGAAATTATTTTGTAAAAAAAAAAATATTTATATATACGGAGTGTCCCAGGAGGAAAGATCAATATTCTGGGAGGTCATAATATCAGTCATTCTAAGCAAAAAAGTATACATGTACACGTGTCCTATTCCGAAAGGTTTCCGAGATAGAGCCACTTCACTGTATATAAAGTACATCAATATTATTATGTTATTTTCACCCACACTGCAACATTAAAACTTAAACTAGGAGGCCCACACTTGCTACTCTACTTACCGGTACTGCTGAGAGCTCATGATGATCACAGACTTCAGTGATGGAACTTTAGCACTTTCCAGGCAGACTCCAGATTCTGGGCAGCTGACCAGTTCAGGTACCACAGTCTGCAGTATCTTGTAGCAGCTGTTGGTCTTATAGAACTCTGAACAGATAAGAATTTTGACGCCCACTTTGTTGAGACTGTGCGGCAGTTCAAGTGTCTGGTAGGCAGGGTCAATCTGAACCTGTGAGGTATTATGCAGACATTTGTCGATAACTGAGTGACTGAATCAGTCACTAACAAACCAATCAGCTTACACACTAATTGAGCCACCAAAGCTACCCCAACTCACAAGATATGCATTATGAACATTTACGAAACAACCGGATAAGCTGACAGCCTTTCTACCTAATTAAAATGGTGGCAGAATAACTACCAGATTACAAACTTACAAACCAAAACCAGCCAACTGACTCTCCGATACTGGTACCCACAGATTCAACACAATTAATACCAAAGCTACCCATTAGGCATAATCCCAAGCTAATTACATCAAGTTTTCATTCACACAACTTATTTACCTAGCACAAACTTTTAATAGTATCCTGAATTTCTTCACCAGATGAATAAAAACATCAAGGGTTACACTGAATAATGAAGTCATTTGCTGGTTTGGACATGCATTAAAGCTGTTGCTGCCCTAATGCTATTCTTACACCTACTCACAGCTATGAATCCACCCCTTGCTGCTGCCAGTCTGGAAATGTACCACTGGCTAGAGTTGGTGCCCCAGATTCCCAGTCGATCACCAGGGTTGAGTCCCAGCTGCAGCAGCCCTGCAGCAAGGCGGTCTGCCTGAGAACATTACAGAACGATTTATCTTCAATGCAAAATTATGTAAGATTTATATCATATCAAGTATTGAGAAATGTCCTGCAGAAGTAAATATTTAACATTAACTGCATTCAACAAAACTGCTTACATGTCTTCAGATATAAAACCATCTGGGTAGCATTTATTACTTTTACAGCCATACAAAATCACCAGATAGAAGTTAAGAGAGTCAAATCATTATTTCCATGAAGTTAATGACTCACTCACTCAATGTGTCACACTGACTCCAATGATGGACACTGAATAAGTCTCCAAAACATTGCTTTTGAATTCAGCACTGACATGGGTGATTGAGAAGATTTTATAGCAGAAATTATTTTTGTTTATGTGCTGTGTGACATCTGCAGTGTGGTCATTTTTACATAATTCTGCATGCAATAAATGAACAACAAAACCAATAAGATACGAAAAGAATGCACAAAACACATTTGAAAAATATTTGTGCTAAGACCCTTCCCTACTTATTTCTGATGAAGCGTACCTTGTTGTGTGCTTCACTGAAGGTAATGCGGTGACCCTGAAAGACAGACACTAGTGCCTCTCTGACACCCCAGCGCTTTGCTGCAATCTCAACCAGCTGTCCGACTGTCAGGTAGGACAAAGGTTCCGTCCCCAATTTGTGCCAGTAGCTAGGTTTATATCCAATGTATGATGTGTCCCTGTATACATGAAATTCTGACATCATGGCAACTTACATGCAATTTTCCTCATGTTGGCACATAATGAGGAGATAATCTAGAAGCTTGTTGGTTCCAAATGCAAATCACTCATTAAATTTTCATGAAATTTTGTATGATATCACAACAGAAGTTGTGGGGTGATATTATTTTGGCTTGTGTTATGCAGAATTTTGGTGATAATGCGTGCCACTGGTTTTTCTGAAATTTGTTGAATTCCGGTAGAATGACCTGATGATATAAGAATGAACCACTCACTTTAACATTCAGTAATTATGAATTTTACTCATAGAATGTAATTACAGGTTTCATATAAATTTCAGAGTAAACAGTGATTATTTCCTTAAACCATATTAACCAAATGCTCTTTGTAATGGAGATGTACTGTACTTTTCCTTGAGACAGAAACTAAATTTTTAAGTTTTTAGATGAATTTCAAATTTCAAAGGACTAACGGTCACGCACATTCATTAGTTATTATTGACTGTTTAAAATACAAAGATAAATATTGTTGGAACACTGAAATTTCAGGGGAACACGCTGTCTTCATCTTCCTGAAGACTGCATGTTATAACAACTCAGAAGACTATATAGTTTGAATTCTCACTGCCATAAAAAACTTGAAATCCCTTATACTGCCACAATTCGAAAGTTAAAATCCCTTATACTGCCACAATTCGAAAAGCAACATTTTCGGCTACTTGAGAAATAAGTTGCAACTAGCAAGTAAAATGCCATCGGTAACAGCCTTCAAATTCACTTCTTGGGCACTTCAGTTTTTCTAGACTGTAAATCATGCTTTCATTTTTTAACTAGCCTGGATTAACATCCTTTTAAGGAGTAAAGTCTACCCTTCTCTTGACGTGTGATGATTTTTTTGTAAAAGGCAAATATAAATTTATAAAAATAAACAACTATAAATGTCCACAGCAAGTTATAATCTGCCAGAAATATCCAAACACCTTTTTAAAGGACTAACAAAACTATCCATGACCTACAAATGGAAAAATTCTCCTTTACATCATTATCGCCATGTACAAATAGCAAATAAGAAGAATGAAGTATTCCAAAATCTTCATAACAATTAAGAAAATGGTGATTTTTAGACAGTTTATGTAAAATACTGATACAAATCTCAAATATATTTCCTACTTTAATATGATTTCAGCCATCCTGACAGACTTAGACCATTCGAATAATAGAGTGGTAGATTCAAATCTTGCTCTGTCATCCTTCGAATGCAGAAGCTTTGCAATAGGACAAATCTCATGTTCAAAGAATACCCAATAAAGTTAAAAAGAAACACATGTACAAGTAATTAAAACAGCACAAGAAATTAAATTAAGTTACATGAATCAAATTACATTTTGTCCTCTGAACTACATTTGCGCATATAACACATAAGGTTATCAAACATGATAAAGAACTGACTATCTTTATTGCTTATTTACATGTTCTTCTTACTAATCATCATAATAATATATAGTTTTTACTGCTGTTATTATTATTAGATTTAAAAGTAAAGGCCAATGTTGCCCAAATCAAAGACGGAGACAAAATTAACATGGAACTACAAATTTATTGCAGAAATCTTTGCAGATTATTTTTCTTATATTTTAACCCTCCCTCATATGTTAATACCTTGAATAAATATGATTTCACTTCTTCTGAGTTTTTTTAGTATTCCATATATTTTTTATGCAAATGTTAAATGGGCAACTCAACAAAATGTAACAGACTCAATAATATTCCTAATTTTGCACCTATTCAAAACGATTCTGTTAAATCAAAATCTATCTTAACTAACTCTGTTACTTACCTCAATGTTTTGCCATCTGTCCAAACTCAAAATCCTGAATACTCAGAAAACAACACTACGAATTGAAATGTAGAAAAGTGAACTACCATACGATGAATTATGTGACAATACATAAAATAATTCATGTTAGGAAATATGTTGGTTCTTCAATTACACCTGCTATAAATGAACATATATACTTCCAAACATTTTATAAATCCTTGCTTTTGGTTTTTCATTTTAATTACATTTTGCATTTTAATGACAGTTATTTTACTGTAATGTAATGATAAACCAAATGAATTAAATTAAGGATATTATAAGTTTCAAGATTTATCGACTTATTACATGTTTTAAGGTATTGCTTTACTTAATTAAAATTCGATGCTAAATCTGACAGCACTCATAACCATTATTTTCGTCCATCTATCATGAGTAACCTAAACGGAGTTACAAAGCTGAAGACTGAACCGTGGTTCCAATATTTCATTGTCACCAAGCGATAATGCCATCACTTGATTTAAAGGAATTCCTGAAAATCTTTATATTTGTAGACGTTTTTGAAATTAACCACCACCACTGCACAGATGGCCATCACAACAAATGTTGAGTAATGGCTCAAATTATGTTGGCACAAATTTTATCATGACGTAATTACAACTTAGATTTTTGTATTCTAACAGCAACAAATGAGGATACGATTGACAGAATATGCAGCATTGATTAAAACAGTTCCAAGTGCATAAGTATTTTGGTAAAAATAAAACCTCTAGCAAAAGATTAAATTGGAGAATAACATGAACAAAATAAATATCAGATATCTAGGGCTTAAATTTGTAGCTTGGAATCATCTGCCTTATGATATCGTCCAATGGCAGGCGTGTGAAACAGCGATAAACTTTTGAACTGCATTGAAGTGGATATTATTTTGAGCAGCTGAGAAGTTATCGACCTTTCATGGAATGTGCTGTAAAACTCAACTAGTTTGTCTACATAATGGAAAATTAAATAAGATTTTAGAGGGGAAAAAAACAGGAAATAGTTTTGGTATTTTGATGTTATCGTTGGGCATAAAATGTCATCTGCAGAGACAACATCTTTCAATGTGGCCTGCATGCGTGAACGGTTGATCAACTCTGCATACGAGCGACAGACACAATTACTTTTTATATCGTAATATGAAAGGTAATGAAAGGAATGGTAGCAAAATCAAGAGGAAAAACTAAGTTCTCATTCTAAGAGTTTATTGATCCTATAATCAAATCACTTACCTTCAGGGGCGGTACAAGGATATTTGGCACCCTAGACAATCCTTTGTCCTTTCGCTCCCCACCACTTAACTTCCGAAAATCAGTAATATTATGCATTTTCTTTTTTTGAGATTTAGTTTATATGATAAAGGAGAATGATAGGGAATGCACAATATCACTGCTCTTCAATTTATGCAAAATATGTACTAAAAGACACACAAATTAAAACTTAGAACCTCGGAAGACACAACTAACAACTAAAACAAACCATAAGGACTAAAAGGGCCCATTCACGAGGCAATCTCCTTGTCAGGAAATGTGCCGAATGCTCGGTGTCGACTTCAGTACAAAACATATCAACCATTTGTATACAATGCCATATACTGTTGGCGATATATTACAAAAACGCGAGAAAAAACAACACATTACGCCGAAATTTTAGAAAAGGTATCAAGGCGGTTTGTCTGCATTAATATTCTCCTTAGCACTTCCTTTCAGCACCCTACAACTGCGTAATTTCTTTTTCGCGAGAGACCATGTTTCACATCTCCATAAATTAGCACGTAAAATTATTTCCATCGTTATGTTATTTTATACGACACGGAAGATGAAAGATTCTGAACTGAACGACAGCAACGTCAACAAAGAAAAAAATCGGCCACCGCATTTCTTCGATTTTTTAAGACGCACTTAATTTTTCCACATTTTAGCATTTCTGACACCGGAGTGCGTCTTACAATCGAGGAAATGCTGTAATATTGGCCTTGAGATCAAAGTGTCTGTACTGGGTTCAAATCCAGCTGCTCGCCCAAGATCTTACTCGCCGTAAAAACTTCAAAACTTGACATCAAATCACTTACTTGTTAGCCATCCTGTTCATCTCACTTTCAGTGTTATCGACAAACTGCTGTGTTCACAACACCCAACATCAAAGCTCGCAATGTTCTTTCATTCCTTTAATTTTATATTATTTTCTTCTGTAACTCGCTGCCCTTCTTTTCTGATAACAATTTAGAACGTTATATTAACCCAGTGACACATAAACAAACGAATCATGAAGCCTAATTGTGGTCTTAATCGTCACCGAAACTGCTATCTTGTAAAGGTCAAGGTATATAACACGATAAAAAAACTGACTATAATTAGGATATCAGGCAATAGCTTTTGAACTTACCAACTGCACAATTACGTCCATAAAGTTTTGTGTTGTTTGTGTTACACTAATTGCGTACCTTAAGTATAGTTATAATCCAACAAAAGTAAAAGTACAGGTGTCTCTGTTACATAACTAAGCAGAAGGCCATGACATGTAGAGGAGTGTACGCATAGCTCCACACAGTTTATAATATCGACACTGGATGGAGGTGACGTCTTAGCTTCACGCCACGGTCGCTTTGCCCCCCCTCGACAAGTTATGCGTTTAATATCTCATATTGTTAGTGTCTTACAACTCAAAACGATAACAATTAGAAAATCAATAAAAACTTCATGAGGTCCCTTCAATAAAGTTCCTCTCAAATCAGCGCGGTGTAAAGTTAGAAAGTTATAGCGTTTGATACAGGAGAATTACGCATGCAGTGCGCACACCTGCATTCAACGCTGTATCGGACCGAGTTGCTGCCGTTCCCGCAAACAGCGCTGGTGTCAGAAGCTTAAAACAACAGCACGCTGTTCATTTATTCACGGGATATCTCGTTCGACTCGTGGTCAATGACGAGCACTCTCGCTTTTACCTGCACCTGGTCTATTTTACTCTGACACCGTGACAATTCCACCACATGGAAGTTTTCTCATTTCTACCGCAAAGGTACTGATGAGACGCTTTTAAGTATCGTGGTTAGGCATAGAGGTCAATTTACCCGCAAAATTTACGAAGGAATCCATTCTTCAGAGTTCTTAAGTTGCTTCGGTTGTTGTATGATGTAAACCGCGCAGACAGGCTACAGGTAAGAACCCGTTTCCGAGTTGTCCTGCGTAGGCCGACGCCTCGAAGTCGCCTTATTCCTAATCTAAGGAAGCTTAAGGTACAACTTAGCTGCACGCGACAGAGACAAGCGACCGAGGCAGGCGACAGAATTGCGAGACCGAGACTGGTCGCTTCCTGTCTGCTCTCTGTATAATCGTATGAAGTACAATTACGAGCGCGAGACAGAGACAAAGCACAGGAGACCGCTCTCGGACCAGTAGTGTCTCGCGACGGGCTCAGGCAGCACGTGTGTTGTTGAGTAAAATAATGGCAGAAATTAGATTTACTGGTGACCAAGATGAGCAATTGGTAGAATTAGTAGCAGAAAATGATAAATG